ATAAGGAATCCTACTTCGCGGAATTTCATTTATCACGGTAGGGTCTAGAACCGATTAACCGCGGTAAACGAGGGTTTACTGTACTAGATTTAGGATCAACATGATTGTATTGCTGTCTACCTTGTGAAACCAGCCAAAACCTCGGGAGACGCTATTTGCTTTACGATCTGTTTTCTGAAACTTAAGGTTTGGGGTTTTTTTAGATGTAGCATATCCGGTGTTGCCATCATTGCCGAGCGCACACACACGGCACGACGTTTGCCGACATCAGCAGTGTCTACGTCCTTGGAATGTACCGTTCAAAGGCAGGGGTGAGGTTCTTCCAGTTGGGCAACCCTTCTGACCCTCCTCTTCTGAGCTGCCTCACCCCCCCCACCCCCCCACCCCCCGCCTGTGAACATAACTCCCCTTACCAGCCTCCCCAGGGTCCTGTGCCATCTTGCTCGTTTCTGTCAACACCTGAGGCCATAGAGATGGTGCTTAAACGAAGTGGGTACTCGGGTAGATGTGTTTGACGAGTGCGCTGAACGACTGTTTGGTTTAAAGAGGACGCCAGGGGATATTTTTGGCGTTCGGTTCAAAGGTGCTCTCCGGACCATCGTCTCAGGGGTTCACTCGGCCTCCAGGACTCTTGAAAGTCTGAAATTCCATACAGATTTGAAATTCTGTTCTGCAATGAAAATCGTTAGCTCTTCATCAACATTCTTCCACAACTGGGGTCAGCAAGCTACAGCCCTGCCTGTTGGTATAGATACAGAGTGGTCGGGGCATAGCGCTACATAAAGTCTGTCACGTAAAGTGCGTGGCTGCCTCGGCGGCGGCGTATAGAGGTGTATAGGTGACCTCCCAGGGAGGCAGCTGCCCCGAGGGCATCGATCAGGAGAAAGATGAGGCTTGCCAGCCCCGGGGGAGTAGTCTTGGGAACCACAGGGGCACTTCAACGCTGTCCGAGAGGGTCACTGTCAGCCAGAATCGACTTGTGAGCTTTTGCCTGCATGCTTGCTTTGAGCTCTGAGGGCAGAGCTGAGTACAAATTGCCAATCCCTGCCCTACAACGCTTTAAAAAAAATTACTGTGCTTAAATTAAAAAAAAAAAACTGTACTGTGAATTGTTTACAGAGAAGATCATCCGTTTTGCATTCAATGATTCATACATCCTGCTTCATCTCATTCAGTACAATCCCCCCGATGTAACACAATAACACCATGCAGAAACAGCCTCTGTCAAACGCATGTGTGTGTGTGGGGGTGTTGGGGGAGTATGTTCCCACTGCTCCTCCCACCCCCGTTCAGTCTGTGTGTCTAGCCACCCAGCCACTCCTCGGTCTCCCTTGATGGCAGGGTGGGGTGGGTATCGATCTTGGTCTCTGTGGACTGTTAAGTCCTGCCCTCGTCCCTAGTTCCTCTCCGGCTCCTGGCAGCCTTCCCCAACCTCCCCTTACTCCACACTGCCCCCCCACCCGTGCTGGAAACGACGTCACTCCCCCTCCGTTCATTCGGTCTGTAACGGCACGGTCCCCCCTTTGACTTTGTCATTGAATTCATCACCAGGTGACCTCTCGGGGTCCCTGTTTTCGGCCGCGTGGGTGCCGTGGTTCCATGCTGGGCTGCGATCCGCATGGTCGGAAAGCTCAAAACCATCCGCAGCTCTGCGTGAGAGAGACTGGGCTTCCCACGCCCTGCACAGTTACAGTCTTGGGGCCCCACAGGGGCAGCCCCGAGTCAGTACGGACATGATGGCCGAGAGAGGGGTCTGAGGTTTGAGTCCTCTCCCTCCCATTGAGTCCATTCCAGTGCATGGTGACCCCAAAGGCAGGGTAGAACTGCCCCCC